TCACTTGCTTCTCCGGTAATGAAACTGATAAACTCAGATACGCATTCTTGAACTGTTTCTTTAGCGTCTTTTGAGATTTTTGCGTTTGCTGGTAACGCTTTTTTCATAATTCTGCTCACGTTTGCTATTGGTAAAAACCTGTCTTGTTCCCTTGTTGATCCTTCGTTTCCAGCGTTGTGTCCTCCTGACTCGTTGTCTGAATCAGCCATCGCTATTCAAGCCTCAGTTCCAAATTTTAAAAAAAACAAAAAGGATACCCAATAAAAGCACCTTTTAAAAGGTTTCCCAGCTGAAACTCCAAGAGAAAATCTATATTTCTATAAACAGAATTCAAGGGATTACAATTTGTTTTATGGGTAAAGAGAAGAAAAGTTTAAAAAAGAGAAAAGCCCTTTGTCGGATAGAGAATTTTGGCCGGAGATATTGCCGGGTTCTTGACTTTCCGGCGAGAGTTGAGAGAGAGAGGGAGGGAGGGGGAGAGAGAGAGAGAGAGGAGGGGAGGGGAGAAATTGCAAGGTCCGTTGGATCGTGGGGTATAATATTGTATCGGTGACGACACGTGGCAAGTGTAAAACCGTTCGTTTGGCGATAAGGGTTAGATCGCGTGGGTGAATCTGAACCGCAGATAAAGGGTGGGGTATTAAGAGATCTTGACAAGGAGGAGTCACGTGGTGGGGGTGTGAAGAGGAGATTCTATGAAACTGTGTAGGGAAGTATGTTATTTCTCTAAAAGATTTTAAAGATTTAATTTGTTTTCTAGTTGAAAATTTATGTAACTAGTAATTCCTTTGTGATAAAATATATTGCGCAAATTAAACGTGAATCCTTTCCAATTAAGAATTTCTTCAGCCGTAAGGTTCAACTTATTGCGAATGATAATAACTAATATTAGCAAACAAAATCTTGGTGTGTTTGGTACGAAAGAAAATATTTTTCGAAAAATATTTTTAAATTTTTTCATATTTGATTGACTTAAATATTTTGAAAAATATTTTTCTCATGAACTCATTTTCCTCCAATTGCAGGATAATATTTTCCTTATCAGAAGAAAGAAAATATTTTTCAAAATTCTTTTTCAACATTCTCCACCATATTCTCCATCATCACCAACCCCCGCCCACCTTATCCATT